GGCTGGACCCACCTCTGTGTCCTGGTCAGTGGTGCGGGTCCTTTACCGTAACAAAAAGGAGGGGCAGAGGGACACAATGGTAGGCTGACGAATCTCAGGTAGTCTTCACCTCTCGCTAAAATGGACTGCGAGAAGGGCCTTATTTGGGGCGTTTTGAGGTGTCATCTGCTTTTCTCCTCAGAAGTGAGCCAATTAGCAAAACTGCCTTTTTCAACTTCCCTACCTAAGAGTTACGCTGCAACTAAGCCTTAAAGGCAAGTGGCACGATAAATCCCCAAGACGTGTAGATTAGTACGCCCAGCGGAACAGAATTTGCCGCCCTCCAACACGCGCTCCAAGAAAAGTACCCTTATAGCGCTCTATCAAGCTGCAACATACGCTCGAAAACCTTGAGATGTGGTAGGCGTGGCGGTGGTTGTGCTTGTGAAAAATATGTTCACTTTGACACAGTCGTGGTAGTGTCTCTATTCAGCGCAGAGCAAGGTGACAGTTGTCTCAAATTGAAATATTCTCCGGCTAACTCATCCTAGACCATGTTCAACTGCCAAGCCTACTCTCTCTCGGGGATCAGTAGTGTACCTACCCGAAAGCCCTTCGCGCTCGCCTCCCCACAAATGTCCAAAGGACAATGTGAAGGAAAGGGATTCATATGGAAGCCTGCTGCGGTGCTGCATGGATATATGAGAACATACATGCAATCGTATATACCGTAGTTATCAGTACGACGCCAAGGGTAAACTCGTCCGGAATAGCTTTCTGAGCCGTTTAGAACAAAGGCTTTTTCCTCAAGTTCCAAATCCTTTCATTTTTTTTTTTGCCATTTTACCATGTAGCAACCATGCTACTATTTCTGAGCAAGTACCAAATTATCATGCCTAATGACGTTAAAAAGTCACCTGGTAACAGTTTCTCCAAATCAACATTGTACAGCTGATCATTATTCCGGAACGCCACTTTATTGTATTCACATGCTGTTCCCATGAATAGCGTAAGGTCGAACACTCGAGCGTGGATAGGTGGCTCGAAGAACGAAGTTCCGTACGGTATTAACTCGATCTGCAAAGAAGATTTCATTACAGATGAATAACATTGTCTAGAAAGTATTCAACAGTCTGCATCTGAATGGTAAGCCCTCTTGAAGTACCGTAGTTCTTGGAACCCTGAGGACTCAAACTTTCTGAGGACCCGGATTCTGCGCGCCATATGCTCGGTTGTCTTGAAGCCGCAATATAAAAGGTCACGAAGGCGAAAGAGCGCAAAAAACATAAAATTGTCGTGATCAAACGGGTTGGGTTCGGGCTGTCCGGGGACCCTCTTATCCCGTTTACTACGGCAGTGAGGAATGCGCAAAGAGCAAGTGCGCACTTATGAACAGGGTACAGCATCGTGATGTGTGAAATGGTAGTGTAGGTACGACTCTCCCCCTCCCTCCTTTCGAGAGAGCGTTTCAGGACTGGTCAGGACTGGTCGTTCAGAGGTCTCGGTGCGACCGACCCCCCCCCCTCCCTTCCTCAACACCTACCTACTAACTTCCCACATTTTCCAGTTTTTCACCCAAAAATTTTCCGTCGAGGGGGGAGGTAGATAGTACACATGAAATAGGAAAAATCACGAAAAGCCAACAACCGGGAGAAAATTTTTCCCAACGCTCGAAGCCACATATACCCCCCCTCTCCCAACAACGACCAAATACGACCCCCCTCCCCAGCCGAAAAGTACGACTCCCATGTGTTTCACACAACGATGCTGTACCCTGGTTACTGGCAAAAAGTCATGAGATGATTGATGGGACGACCGCATCGTACTTTTTGGGCTTGGTAGGGGCATTGTGCTTCCCATCGATCCTTAACAATTTTCCTGGGGAGCATGTAAATCCCTGTGAAAGCATGAAATAGTATGAGCATTCGTTTTCTCTTGAGAAGAGATCACAGGTCTTCCAGGATCAAGGTGCTACAAGCTACAAAAATTGTTTAGGACTTGAAACCCCCCCCCCTCGTATAACAAACAGCTTCAGCACAGCACACGTCTGAGAACAGAAAGCTCACGGCGCAATTCGGCGACGGGAGGGGCATTTTGCACTTTCACTGCTTCACTACTTCCGGTTTACAAGTCTCACTCTGGTGAAACTGTGAACTCTTGTGAAGCTGGAGAAGCTCGTCTAGCCACCATGGTAAAACGTGTCAACTCAAGAAAAGGCTATCTAGATGGGTCGACACATCGATGGGAAGCAAAATGCCCCTCCCCCCCTGTCGCTGAACTGCGCCAAGCTTGCTAAGCCTGCGGTGATCGCAAACATTTCTCCAAGGTGACGGGCAATAAGTTCCCTCACGGTGAGTCAAACTTCGCTCGAAATCTTGTCCATGGGTCTGATGCCTGGCCTTTACCTATGTAAGTAGCCGTTACTTACTGTATACTGAAGGAATTGATGTTCTTCCAGTTGATTCAACATGTGCTTCAACGTCATTGCAAGATATGGCCAAAGAAGTTTCGTTGGTGCAGAGGCTTGTTCCTCTTCGAGCTCATCCACGCATACTCGAGCAGTTAACTCGATTTCACTTGAAGATACCCGTTCCACATGTAAACGAACCTGAAAGGAAATTCAAAGAATGCGATTGCTCAACATGGCTGCCTAATGAAGAACCCAAAAACTCTCTTTGGAACCCAAAAATGACACTTCGCTTTTTGAACCTGGCGCTTTTTGAACAGCTAGACAGCGCAAATTGCGAATCGCGATAACCACATCAAGCTTTTGCGGTGGAATTCCCTTCAATACTCGCCTTACACCCTAATCACTGATGAACTTTTCAAAGGCTTACGTGCCTGGGGAATGGGCCGTGGGCGAGGCTTGGTCTTGCCATAATCTGAGGCAACAAAGAGATCACGCGATCGGATTAGGGTCAAGCATTCGTTGAGGGATTCCAACGGGGGTCGTATCTAGCCCGCTGGAAAGAGGGGTCGTATTTGTTAAGTCAAATTAACAGAGCTGTGACGACGTGTGTGGGTTAGAAAGCCTAACTGTAGTGGTAACCCTAGAAAAAGTATCTCCTAGCGAAATCGCTTTTACAAACTGCGAGTAGTGCGTCATCAGGTTCAGAAAGCTGTTTCATGGAGTAGCATAACTTGTTACCAGGAATGCGAAGGAGGTCGTGTGCGTGGCGCACCCCGTGGCTGAGCCTATCGATCCCTCTTCCCAACAGCTG